TTACGTTTTAGTATAATTACGTTTTAGGGGTACGTTCGTTAGTTAACTAACCTTAAAACTATAGACCTTCCCCCCACCCCCCCCTTCCCCCATTATCAACTGTTTATTTGAAATTGGTGATATACAGAGTATTGGAACTAATAAGATACAATTGTTTCAACAAAGTATGATTACGAAAATTAATTACAATCACAAAAATAAAGAAAATATAATTTTATTAATCAATTGTGAATACAATTTTATTTGTTCTCTTGATTCTTCTCTCTAAATTGTTTTCCATGATTCAAAGGCTCAATCAGCGCATTTCTCGAACATCGGATGATGTGGAGCTCCGCACAATGTATTTGATCTCCATGAAAGTCAGACAGTATTTCATATCGATCACGTGAAAGAAATTCTCTTGATCGCTCCTTCTTGTTTTTTCAATCGAGGGCCAAAGTGTCATATCTCTCTAGCAAAGAATTTGTATGAATCTTCTTGAAGTATTTGATTGTTAAGAAAAATTGTCAAGAAGCATATTCCAACTGCATTTTGAGTTGATCTTGAGGAAAAATGTCTCTTGCTCACTTCGGCTTTAAAAAAGATATTATTTGTTGTCATGATCTATTTCTGACCATTTTTATGTGACCATTTTTATAGGTATGAGTTAAGATTTAGGGTAGGGTAACCTCCAAGCAACCTTAATGAACTCTTGGGATTGAACAACTAAAAGAACTTGTCTTGTAGGTGCCCAACTTAATGATCTCGCCCAAATGTAGGGAGTCTTCATCCAGTAAATTTTTGATGTCAACAACAATATTCATATTTGTGATTTAATTATAATTTATAGACATTTTTTCTCTCTGTCAACTAAACTAACCAAAAAAAAAAAAAAAAAAACTACAAACCCACTAATTTCTATGGGACCGTCGCGAAATGTAGATAAAATCATACAGATAAAAGATACTCCCTCCGTCTTATATTAATAGTCGTGATTACTAAAAATAGTAGTCTCAAATTATTTGTTATTTTAGAAGTTCAAGACAAAACTGATTATATTTTTCCTTGTTTACCCTTAGTAATAATTGTTTTTGAAGATGAAGATAACACATAAATAGAATAAATATTAAATAAAGAGAGATCATATCTTATAACATAAATAAGGGTAGAATAGTCCAATCCCTTTTCTATTTAATATTTTTGAAGGACGTGTATATTTACTGAAATGGGCAAAGACGAGAGCAATAAATAAAAAGCATAGAAGTACGAGAAATATCTGCGACACTTAGAAGACAGGCATCGAATGCCATGCTGAGATTATGCTTTGGAGTTTGCATATTAACTGCTTACGATGGTTAATTCCATTGATAAATTAATCCTCCCAAAAATACAGGACAATCTAGATTGCACAACTAAAAGATTTTGGGGAAAGAACATTAAAAAAATGTTTTTGTGTTGAACTACTACTGCTTTGGGTTTGTAGTTACATATATGAAATCTAGATATAGATTATCGTGTTAATTGGATTCCACCTCAACAAGTTGTTTCCTACTCTTGTTATTTACTCCCTCCGGTTCACAATAAGTGACCAATTTGTTTTTTCATTTTGGTTCAAAATAAGTGTCCAGTTATGTAATCAAGAAAGAATTCAATTTGTTTTTACAAAATAACCCCTATGTACATATCCCTAAAAAGTTTTCTTACTCCTCACATTAAATGTTTAATTAGGTGTAGTTTAGTCATAGTAGGTATTTTTGTATAGAATTTAGTATTTTCTTAATGGGCGTGCTAAAAGCAAATTGGTCACTTATTGTGAACCGGAGGGAGTACTTGATTTTTTCCCCCCTTCTTATTCTCTAGGAAAAAGCCACCTTTATGCGAGAATTTAGATGTGAATTTAGGCATCCATTTCTTAAAAATCTCAGTTTATACCCATTAATTCCAGACTATTTACCCTTTAATGCCCGGTCCCAAACTATTTACTACTCTTACGCATGCGGCCCAAACTATTTACCCGCTTATTCATATATTCTATTAAAATAGCTCTTCTTTCTACACTGAGAATTTGGACGAGGGCACAACTTCAGGTTCCAGATCCCATCTCTCAAACCCTAGCTTCCATTTTACACTCCTAACAAATCCAAATATGTCTTCTTTCTTCTGGATTAGTAGTAATTTCTTCTTTGAATTTTTGACTTGATTTGTTGTTATTAATAATAGATGGATCGGTACCAGAAGGTGGAAAAGCCAAGAGTAGAAACACCCATTGATGCAAATGAGATTCGTATCACCAGCCAAGGCCGCATGAGAAGCTATATTACCTTTCTACACTGAGAATTTGGACGAGGGCACAACTTCAGGTTACCCCTAGTAGGTAGTTGATGACTCTATAGGAGCAGAGCAATTTGGGTGAAGACCCAAGATTAAAGAAGGCTTGGTCTTAATTTTAGTAACTCCAGATCCTTGAATTATTTTCTTGTTTGCTATTTCTTGACTTACTTGTAATTTGTTCTTACAAAATTGTTCTTCCATTTCCCTTATATCCTTCTGCAAAAAGAAATTAGATCTGATTATCTGAGAAGTTGACCTCTGGCTAGTTTCAATTCTGCTCCACTTTTTCTTGATTGTTCTTTCCCTAGCTCTTGCTCTTGCCTTGGCTTAAAATTCTTATTTTATAGATTTCTTGTTTGATTCAAAATGGGTATTGTTAAATATTGCTAATAATACCTTCTGGAAGTTCATACTGAAATAGCATTTGGAGCTGATTTGGGTAGAAAATTTCAGCTGAAAATCGAAAAAGAACACATCTATCCAATAGTATACTGCTACGATATACAATATGCTGTAGGAGTATATGCTATACTGCAACAG